TCAACTTTCCCCCAAAATGAATTAATACATCCCACTTTGTCAAAAGTTTCCATCCGTATTGTTATTGTAGGTTTGCAAACTCGTAAGCCTTTCACTTTGTCAATTTAGTGAAGCCTTAATAGAATCTTTGAATTCAAAATAAGATAAGGTGCACATGGATAGTGCCACCTCCTCCTTAAGTATAAGATTAGTTGGCAATTTGGTGTCATATCTTCATAATCCCATGTGGATTGTTGTCCCCCCTAATAATTATCAAAATCTTGCTTAAATAATTATCCACGACCTTTAATTAATTTGGTTAATCTCCCACTAAATCAATAATTAATTAATTACCCACATAATCAAGAATTATCTCAAGTTACTCAATACTACTCACTTTTAACACACTTTATACACCTTACTATCATGGCCATGTAGTACCTTGTATGGCACAAGTCCATAAATATTGGGTATTTTAGCTCGGGCAGTATTTTATCCCAAAATGCCAAACTTTGACAAAAAATCATTTTCTTAGACTTGCTCCCCTTTCACCTTCATGAATTTACTAATTACTTGTGAAATAGCATAATCCTTATAATCTCCTAGTAATCTTTTCCTTGGACTGATGTCAATTACCTTGCGACAAATTTAACGTAAAATACTGTAGGGTGCAACATCGTCGTAACTTATTAATGCGAAGCGTAATATCACCGTAATATATTACTGTAGAGGGTAACACCATCGTAACATATTACTGCGAGCATAACATCGTCGTTATATAATACTGCGGGACGTAATATTGGCGTAATATTGCAGGGCGTAACATGCGGCTGGTCGCTGGCGAGGGATATCAGTGGAGCAACATAGGCACATGCGCGCTTTTCACTTGGCGCGGCCAAGACCACGGGGCCGTCTGTGGTGCTAGGCATTGGGAGGCTTACTAGGACGCCACGGGGCGCGCCCAAGGGGTCATGGGGCATGGTTGGAAAGCCGCCCATGACATTCTCCCCCACCTAAGTTGGCGACATCCTCGATGCCTTACTTGCAAGATAATCTTCAATTAGGCTCTTGTATGCTTTGAGGTTTGTTCCCCTCTCCCAATTATTCTCCTCTGCATCACACCCCTATCATTTCACCAAGAACTCTTGGTGATCTTTCCTTGAGGCATGAATCACTCTATCATCAATGTCACACCTCCTTTTTACCATCCGAGGGGTGTATATAAGGGAGTTTTTTCAATTAAAGTGATATTAACCGAACTGGGATTAATTAATTTATCAGAGTTGCCACTTGGAATAGTTTATTTGGTGTCCCAAGCCACCGGTTTATTTTAAAATCTCGAATCGAGGAAATTTCGACTTTATTTTAAGAGTCTGCGAACCAGAAATTCTAAGTAAGGAATTCTGTTAACCCGGAAGAAGGTGTTAGGCATTCCCGGGTTCCGTGGTTCAAGCACGGTCGCTTTAACTATTATCAATTGGCCTATTATTTGTTTTACTACATATTTTAAACCTATTGTGCATTTTTAATTTTATAACCGCTTTTAATTAATTTATGGAATTATTCTGGAACAAGTTACGATTGTCGTACACTTATTTGTTTGATACATATTGCGAATCATGTCAGGGAACCGTACCCACGATCTACAACACGTTTAATTTATTAAAGTTATTAGAAGTTTTGGCCGGGTCACATAAATGTACCCCCAGATTTGAAAATTAGGTATCACCACTACGTCATGGGAATCGTACCCGTAGCTATGATAATTTATTATAAACGCACCTAAAGCAAGCTAAAAATGTTTTAAAATGTGCTTTTCTATACTAAGTAAATATTAATGTGAGGGCCATGGCTATGGATTTTGTTTATGTATGGCACACCTCAATTATATTTTAACAAGGTTTATATTTCACTAAAGCAAGCTAAGGATGCTCCTATTTAAATCTAATTTGAAATTAGGTATCACAACTACGCCACGGGAACCGTACCCGTTGTTGTGATGATTTATTAATCGCGCCTAAAACAAGCTACGATGTTCATGATTTGTTCATTTTTTTCTAAGTTCAGGCCTTTTTGTGAAAGGTCATAGATTATGGATATGGAAGCATTTGGAGTGCAAGAATTTTAAGCTAGTTGGAGTAATCTAGCAATGAATTCTGTTACAAACAACAAGTCATTAACTTCAAAAAACTAGAGCATCTGGACCAAAATTTTGAAATATATTACTTCAACCAAAAATGGAGCAGTAGACATATGTTCTTTGCATATCTACAATAAGACTAAAGCACCATTCAAATGCCTAGTAGTACATGTTTTTTGGCATAAGTATCTTTCCAGCTTTACCGTGAGCATTGTCCCTCAATATTCTTCATCAATGGGCTTGTCCAGTTCAAAGAAAAATGGATTCGAGGACCTTTTTCCTACTTACTTCTATGTATGTAATTGAATATTTAAAGGCCATACGTCTTGTTCTGTCCAAAGACAATTCTTAAGATGGAAAGAACACAATCAAACTTATCAGCTTCTACTACTACTTTTGTTAATTGAACTCCTCCGTCAACGCCTTTTAGAAAATAGGTAGGTACAAGAGGAATTTGTAAGAAAATAACACTTCAGTGACATATGCTCAAATTGACAGAAACAAAGTCCAAACAGTGAAACACCTGCACCAAACTCGCGGCATTTTTCAAACAAAAATATAGCAATACAGAAAGGTCCATAAGGAAAAAAAACTTACTATAAAATTCAAACAGAATCAGCATTTAAACATGATTTTAAATAGGAGGCATGAATTCATTCGTCACTAAATATAACAAAATACAAAGGGGTTCTTTTGAATTTACCTCTTAAACAAATAAAGCAATAGGAACAGTCTTCGATACAGAGCGGCAACAAACAAATAACAAAGCAACAACGGATTTGAGCTTCAACATCTTTTTATGGATCCATGCAAGAGGAATTTGGACTTTGAAAATTCAGCAATCAATCAATTCTCCAAATCTGATTCGAAATTCTAATTTTTTTTCGTTTTCCCTTTTTCAGTCATTTTTCAGAGCTTTATTTTTTTGAATTTTCTCGGCTTTGTTTCAGCCTTTTATTTTCAAATCGTGAGTGGGTGAGCCTTCATCTTCGTGTGAGTGTGTATCAGTGATGAAGGTGAGAGATGGGAATCACCAATTTCGTTTTTTCTAGGAAAAAGAAGATGGGTTCGGATTATTTTTGGTGTTCAAGAGAGGAGAGTGAGATGAGAGAACTTTTGGGGTGATGAAGGATGGTGAGGTTGTTGTTCTCAGAGAATGGCCATGGAGGCTGCGCCATTTCTTCTGTGTATTTTCAGAAGGGAAGGTCTCGTTCTTCTCCAGGTCTAGATTAGCTTCTAGGTTTTAATTAAAGGGGTAAGGGTTTGGGATCAGGCGGGTCGGGGCTGGTTTTTGGGCTGGGTAGGAAAATTTAGGCCTGATTTGGGTACAAGAACTATCTTAATATCCAATTAAATCTTTTCTTCAATTTTATTTTTCTTATTTCCTTTTTCTTTTTTTTCTCTTTTTTTTTAATTAAGAAAAGACCTAAATCAAATTCCTAAATTAGTCTAAATTGTAAAAGTAAGCTAATTATCTAATTATAATATTTATAACAATTACTTGATCCTAAATTAAAAGGGAAAAAACATTAATCTAAAAATTAAACGGTAAAAATGTAAAAATAAGCCATTTTTATGATTTTTATTTTTAACAAAGCAATTAATCAACTAATTAATCCTAAAAATATAAAAACTAAAAATCTAAATGCAATGCATGGTATTTTTGACATTTTTTATGATTTTAATAAAAATTAAACGTGCACAGAAATGCAAGAAATTAATAAAAATCCTACAAAAAATCCTATAAAATGGCAAATAATTGGAAAATTTCTATTTTCTTTGATTTTATAGGAGTATTTCATATAGGGCAAAAATCACGTAGTCACAATCAAGGATAGCTTCAACACGCCTTTTCCCGATTGAATTGGGACCTCGAATACTGGGTATTGTGAGATGGCTCCGTGAAGGATCCTCTGTGTCTTCCTGAAAAGGTTTCAGGAGGCTGACATGGAAGACAGGATGAATTTTCCACCAAGCTGGGGTATCCACCCGGTATGAAACTTTCTCAATGCACCTTTCAATGGACAAGGGTCCAATGCATTTTTTCAACAGGCGAGGGTTATGGACCCCCGCAAATAAGTACCTCTTTGGGATTTTGACCATCACTTTGTCTCCTACTTGGTATTCAACAAAGCGACGATTTTGATCAGCATGTCTCTTCATCCGCTTTTGAGCTTTGACAAGATATCTCCACACTATCTCCAAATTTTGCTTCCACTCTTTTGAGAAGCTAGCAGCTCGAGGAGATTTAGACATGTTTGGTGCATTCACTGTGTGTGGGAGTAGCGGTTGTTGTCCGGCAAAAATTTCAAAAGCGCTTTTGTTTGTACTAGAGCTCCTTTGTGAATTGAAACACAGTTGAGCAGCATCTAGAGGCTTCACCCAATTCTTCTGCAATCCGGTTACAAAGTGGCAGAGATATTCCTCCAACATACCATTGAACCGCTCTGTCTGGCCATCAGATTGCTGATGAAAACTTGAGTTGTGATTCAACTTTGACTCAAGGCACTTAAAGAGTTGGGTCCAAAAGTTTCTAGTCAAGTGTGTTTCGCGATCACTAACAATGTCTTTGGGCAGGCCTCAATATTTGACGACATGAGATAAGAAGAGTAGAGTTGTATCTTCTGCTGATATATATTGTGGGGTGGCAATAAAGGTAGCATACTTGGAAAACCGATCTACCACAACCAAGATAGTTGTAAGATCTCCGACCTTGGGCAATCCGGTGATGAAATCCATGGAAACGCTTTCCCAAGGTCTCTTTGGGACAGCTGGTGGTTCCAAGAGTCCCACTTGTGTCAAGCGGTCCTACTTGTCCTTCTGGCATACTAGACAAGTCTTCACATACTGAGCGATGTCATCGGCCATTTGAGGCCAATAATATGCACGACGAAGTAATGCCATGGTGCATTCCTCACTGGGATGGTCGGCCCACAGAGTATCATGACATTTTGCTAGAAGAGTCCTTCGCAGATCTCCTCTTTTAGGAACATAAAGTCAGTTCCCTTTCACTTTCAGGAAACCATCTTCCATGTAGAACTGGCGAGTCTTGCCATGTCATACCAAATCAACCAAATACTGTGCAGCAGGACCCTTGATGAGTAGATCATGTATCTGGTCCTTGATGGAGGTGGCTACTTCGCTCCCCCTTAGGGTGGCGAGTAGGCACACCGATGCTAGATCAGCTCAACGACTGAGCGCATCAGCAACATGATTGGTCTTCCTACTTCGGTACTCCAGGTTGAAGTGGAATTCAGCTAGGAGTTCCTTCCACCTGGCCTGTCGACGATTTAGCTTCGGCTGGGTCATGAAATGGCTAACAGCTGTGTTGTCTGTCTTGACCACGAACGGGGTCCCCAGCAGATAGTGCCTCCAAAGGCGCAAGCAGTGGACGACAACCAATAATTCTTTCTCATGGGAGGCATAGTACCATTCTGCATCCTTCAGCTTACGGCTCTCATACGCTACAGGATGCCCTTCTAGTAGCAAGACTCCGCCGAGGGCATAGTCAGATGCATCCGTTTGTACCTAGAACGGTTTGGCCAAATCAGGGAGGGTCAAGATGGGGCTACTAAACATAGCCGTTTTTAATGCATTGAAGGACTCCGCTCGCCTGGGTCCCCAATCCCAGGGCATGACCTTCTTGAGGAGTTCTGTCAATGGCACTGCGATGAGGAAGTAGTTTTTTTCACAAATAGCCGGTAGAAATTGCATAGGCCAAGGAACGCCCTCAAGTCGTGGATATCCTTAGGCGGCAGCCAATCTGTGATTGCCTGAATCTTCTGTTGGTCCATTTTGATCCGCCCTTCTTCGATGACATGTTCGAGGAAGTCAATTTGCTTTTGAGCAAAGGAGCACTTGGATAGCTTCGCATATAGTTCATGCTCCCCCAATCGAGTTGGGACCTTCTGCAAGTGAACCAAATGTTTGGCTATAGACCACAATGGCATCCAAGTAGACCACCATGAATTCGTTAATGTACTCTCGGAAGACTTGGTTCATCAGGGTGCAAAATATAGCTAGGGCATTAGTCAAGCCGAACGGCATAACCAGGAAGTCGTACGACCCATATCTTGTCACACAGGTCGTCTTGTGTTCATCACCCTCTGCAATCCGAACTTGCCAATAACTTGTCTTCAGGTCTATCTTGGTGAACACCGTCGCACCACCCAATCTATCGAACAAGTTCGCCATTAGCGGAATAGGGTACTTGTTCTTCACTGTGATTTTATTTAGAGCCCAATAATCCACACAGAGTCGCAGGCTGCCATCATGTTTCTTTTAGAATAGAACAAGGGACCTGTATGGGGACTTGGAGGGCACAATGATCCCTGTATCTAGCATTTTCGTCAATTGTCTCCGAAGCTCAGTGAGTTTGGATTGTGACAGTTTGTAAGGCGCCCAGGCGGGTGGCTTCGCGCCCAACACTAACTCAATTTCATGGTCCATAGTGTGCCTAGGCGGGAGTCGCTTTGGCATGTCTTGTGGCATGACATCTTCAAACTCCAGTAGTAGCTCCTTCACGGGTTCAGGAATAGGACCTAAGGAGCGTTCTATATCTTCAATGTAGAGGGTTGCCAGGAACGTAGGTTCATGTCTTTTGACCCCCTTCTTCAACTGCAAGGCCGAGATGTTCTCAACGGCCATCTTCATGGGCATGCACGGGATAATGCAGGGCTTGGCCCCATTTGTTCCCATCATCAGTAGCATGTCTGCATATGGTACGGCCATGGTGTTGGTTTGCCTTAGGAATTCCAACCAAACTATCAACTCGAAGTCATCTATGATCACCACTCGTAGGTTGAATTTTCCTTTGTAAGGGCCAAGCTTCAGCAGTACCTCTTTGGCTATTCCACCCACTGGCTGAGGAGGTGAGTTAATAGCCTTGACACGACCTCTACCTTTTCCTACAACTAGACCAAGGTGCTCCACCTGAGTCAAGGCTAAGTAGTTGTGGGTAGCACCCGTGTCTATCATCGCCCGAATGGGTTTGCCATTCACCTTCATCTTGACGAACATTAAGGCCCTCTCTTGTTTAAGAGGAGTCCCCTCATCCGCCTTCTTTTTCCCTTTCTTGGTGATGGGACATGGGTCCTTCTTCTTACGGATACTAGCACTGGTCTCCGCTAATGCCTCAGAAATAGAGCCAACAATTACATTGAAGGCACCTACTGGTTCAGTATGGCCCGCATCATCTGAGTCATCATCAGTCCCATCATCACAAGCTTGATGGGCGTTCATCTGTGCATGTGGAAATTCATTCTTCCAATGTAGTCTGCCGCAATGATGGCATCCTGAAGGAGGCTTTCTCCCCCGGTTATTGTTGTTTGACGCAGAACTATTGATGCCTAAGGAGGGAGCCTTAGATTTAGTTGCACTTTGATCTCCCCCACTTCTGCTAGGGCCACCATTGCTAGGCTGGCCCCCTTTGGATCCTGCTCGGGTAGGCGGTTGAGGCCTATCCTTCCGAGCTTCCACTTGATAGTCCCCAAGGCATTCAGCTGCTTGGATCGCCTTGGGTAGGGTATCTACCCTTTGTCTTTGTAGCTCCATACGGGTATAAGGTTTCTACCCTTCCAAGAAGGTGAAGAGCTTGTCTTTGTCCCCCCATGTCACGTATGTTTAACATGAGCGCGGAGAATTCCCGCACGTAGTCCCGCACTGATTTGGTCTGGTGGAGCTCGCGTAGCTTTCTCCTTGCGTTGTATTTAACATTTTCGAGGAAGAACTGTAGGCGTATGGCTGCCTTCAGTTCCGCCCATGTCTCGAGAGCATGTTTACCGGCCCTGATGGCTTCGTACTTCACCCGCCACCAGAGTTTAGCATCACCCTGAAGATACATGGCAGCAGTTGCTACCTTCTTAGCTTCTTCTAGGCCCCCAACAGCATCGAAGCACTGTTCGATGTCAAAGATGAAATTTTTCACTTCCATGGCATTCCTAGCTCCACTGTATGGCTTTGGCTCAGGAGTTTTCAGTTTTTGTGTCGGGGTTCACAGCGCCCCCGATTTGGTTTCCACCTCCTCGAAGTAGGCCCAGTAAAGCAACATTGACAACATTGAGCTGGTTTGTCAAGTTGTCAATAGTTTGTTGCATGGCAGTCACCATGTCTGCCTCTTGTTCCCTATAGGCTAAATCCTCGACATGCTCATGTTGGAGTCCCTCGAATTTGCCAAAAATTTCGGTTGCCTCTGTGGCTGCCGTTTGCCGGTCTCCCTCGGAGTCACGACTGATGTTTTCTATGTCAACTTCGGCCTGGAGCACTCTGCGGTCTAAGTTGTCCAACCTTTGCACTAGGCTAGTTCTTAGTTCGGGTACCGTATCCACGATGGGCCGTAATACGTCAACTGTCTCTTCAAGGGCCGCAATGCGGTCCTCATGATTCACCATGGTCAGAAATGGTGGTAATGGCAATGCGTTCCCTCGTCCGATGTCGAGCCTAGGCTCTGATACCAACTTTTACGCGGCGCCTTCCTGAGATTCCTTGGAAGGGCGACTTAAGGCTAAGCAACTGATGTCAGTGCAGTTACTGTCCGCCAAGTGAGGTCCCCTCCGTACGCTAGACGAGATTGTCAGTGTTGTACGAGAAAATCAATGTCAAGAGCAATTGAGAGAACAGAAATGAGAATTGAGAATGAAAGAAAGCTTGATTGCATTAATGAAAGCTATTACAGAAAGGCAACGCGGTATCGAGGGGGAGAGACACCAGTAAAGAGAATTGTTTGCTTGCTAGAAAGTTTTGAATGCTTGATCCCCCTAATAATGCTTAAAAAAAATAAACCAAAGCTACAAGACTAGACTTGATTAAGCTAGAGAAACATAATGGAAGTAAATGAAATAAAACTACTTTATGTTTACAAAGAAAAGTACTTAGTTTTCTACAAGGCAGAAACAAGTCCGTTGTCAGCAGCATTGTCTTTGGCATCACGGTCTGCGCACGCGGCGCTATTGGCATCTGCCTGCGGCTGGGCGCTGGCAAGAGATATCAATGGGGCGACAGAGGCACATGCGCGCTTATCACTTGGCGCGGCCAAGACCACAGGGCCGTCCGTGACGCTAGGCATTAGGAGGCTTGCTAGGACGCCACGGGGCGCGCCCAAGGGGTCATGGGGTATGGCTGAAAAGCCGCTCATGACAGTTATCATGGTACTTCAACCCAATTGGCTAGTAATCCTCGATCCCGTCCGAACAGAAACCGCAGCCTTACATCACTGCAAACTACAACAAGCACCGAAAAAACTAAAGTTGTTTGGTTATTAACTTATTTTTATAACTTATACACAAGCTTCAATAGCTTAACGTTGCTCGATTTCTGCAGAATAACACTCTTAATTTACCCTTATTGTTATCTAATGCAATTATTTGGTGCATCTTCTTTTACAAAATCATATGAAAGTACCTCGTCAACCACCGGTTGCAAAGGATAGAAAACATAGTTAATTAAAGGGTGCCATGCGGTTAGTTAGAATTTGGGAAGAGAGACCAAACAGGAAGGAGAAGTGCATTCCTTATGTTTCTTCTTCCTTTCTCTTTTATTTCTGAAAGTATCGCAGCCCACATTTTAATTCCTGACATTCTTGGCACAATAAATTGCATTCCTTTTGCCAGTTCATTATTGAAGACAACTTCAAGGTAAGGGAGTTCTAGGGCGTAATTTACATCAGTATAAAGTATACAGCAAAACCTGCAAATCTGGATGCCAGGCAAAAGGTAAAAGTAAAACGATTCCCGTATAGAGCAACCATCCAACCATAGCACCAACATCCATTCAAATCAAATTGACTGATTGAGCTCACATGAATCGATGTGCTACTACCATTCCTCAGTCTATCAAGTGGTAAACTTCTTTCAAATAATCAGTTACCAGATCTCCTTAAGAATGCTAGTACGCCTAAACCTGCAACTAATGCAGCACCGGCTGCTACAGTGCTGTAGGCTGAAGCCCAAGCAGATTCTGTATGAGCATAATCCAAACTACTGGAGCTTGAACCCCTTCGATGGCCAGTTATTCCTGAATAGTCTAAATGCAATTTCAGCCCCTGTTCAGGTTGATTTCTGTCATCAGTCCTTACATCGTATTCAAGATAAGATGGAAACAACATCTAATAACTAATTCTAACTCAATCTTCTTTTCTGTTATTAGGCTATATGCTCATTCACATCAACTAAATCATGCATCAAAACCCAGGGCCAGAGGAAAGCCAATCATACCTTCCAACCTGCAGATCTTGCATGGTCAACAGCTGCTGTAAGATCACTATCTGATGCTAATACAACCTTGTCATGATCTTCATCTTCATACTGCAAGAGAGTAATTGCCTTGAATATAATAGTTAACTTGCTCAAACAAGGAAAACCAAGGGGAGGAGAAACATTCAAATGTACGAGGAACAATTAGAAAATTCCAACCAGAATCTGAGGAAGATTGTCCCGGTCAATGTCATCCCCCACTCTCTGAATGATTGCAGCTATAAGATCTGTCATGTTCCGAATATCTGAAATATAGAAATATTAGGGCCATCATGGGAGTCAAAATTATCATAACGATTGAATTATGAGGGAGAACAAAGCAGACATCATATCAATTTCCTAGAATTAGTTTCAGCAGACAATATATACAAACAAGTAATGGGAAAACAACAGTATGTCGCTCTAATAATACAATATGAATAAGCAACAGCATTGCTAAATATAAAATGCATGATGTGGAAATTCAAGAGTACCAACACAAAGAGCAAAAGCAAAACACAAGTGATATGAAAACAGTTGCAAGGACATAACTCCATAAATTTGATAGGAGTCAGGAGCCTTGGGGAAAGTATGACAGTTCAGAAGGCAAGTTTCAAGATGCCTGAAAAAGAGAAAATAGGGGTTTGCATTTTTAGCTCTGTTCACATGATATCAACGGTACTGCATGATTCAGTATCCTGATTCCTGATTGCATATATAAAATAATTTGTCCAATGCAACAAGAATTTCCAGTTAAAAGATAAACTTGGTCATAAATGACAACACTAACAAGTGCTTGCTTACTTTTATCAACTAAAAACATATTCTTTAAACATACCACAATTGAATCTGTGCATTCTTCCCTTTTTGTCTTCAATCTTGAATGAAAAACTATTTGGCTGGCTCGATGAAGGATAGGGAATAGATCTTCCTGTTTCTGCCCCTTCAGAAGCCAATTTCAAGGAACTGTCACTGGAATGTCGAATAAACAAAGTGAGGCATAATAAAAAAAAGGAAAAGAAAATATGAGTTCACAGATACGGAGATTAAGGCCTTAACCTCCGCGTCTCTTCATCATCATCCGGAGTCAATGCCATAGCTGAATCCCAAAATCTTTGCATCATAGAGTTTGCAGCTTCATTATTTATTCCAGCAGTATTTCCCACCTGGTTAGTGAGTAACAGTCCAGAAGTAAATCTCCACAAACTTTGAGAAAAAGGACTTGACATATTAAATATAGAAACTAAGATTAAATACTGTGCGACAAGAGTTTCAGCATTCCAAAAGATTGTTTGCTACTTTAACAATAATTACATCCTAGAATACCTTAATTTTGACATATTAATAGTTGAAGAGTGCCTCAAAAAGGTAATGCTCATGTTAAGTTTCTAGTCAATTACTGAAACAATAAACAACAACAACCACCCAGTGAAATCCCACTAGTGAGGTCTGGGGAAACAATAAACATTTAAAATAGCATATGTGAATATTGAGTAGCTTTCAACTCAAAGCAAATACGACAACTTAACCAATTAATATTTAACTGTCAGTATGATATACAAAGGACTCAGGAACATAAACATATCTGCCAGGAAGCACACTGTACAGAAAGCACAAACAGAAGCAGTAACGGCTAAAGGATTGGTTGAAATCATTGATCAGAACTAAAATAAAAGGTTGAATATTAATACTGGCAGTGGAGGTCAAAATCAAATGCAAGAATCTTTGGAACATCCTCGAGCAGATTGCTTTTGTGGATCGTGACCGAAGTTAATTTTAAAATGCAACAAAATATAAAATAAACCTCCTTCGGTATTCTGTTAAAACATTCAACAAAGTTGTAATTTTTTTAATATTTGGTAAATTGACAACATATTTTACTTTCCTTAAGAAGTCAGTCTTAGCAAAATGGTAACCAAGATTTCAACTTGATAGATCCAGACAAGAATTTATATGTTTCTGAATATACACAGACAAATGTAAAGCTCATCAATGTAGTTAGAACCCTTAGAAGGTTTTTACCTGAATGAGGTAATTACTTACAAGGCAGAATTCAGAAGGTGAATTGACCACCAAAATGGTAGCTCAAAAGATATCAGTTGCTTATGATGAGTTGAGAAGGGAGAAATTAACATGTTTGTGTGTGCTGCCTTACCGTGGCTACAGCTGCATGAGTGATATGAAGCACATCAAGAACAGCAACAACAATTCCCTCTGCCACAAAAAAGAATTACAAATTTAAGCAAATCTAGAAAAGAATATAACCAGTCTCAAAGTGTAACTGGAGGTGAATGATACCTTTATCAACTACAGGAAGGTGCAAAAATTTCCCATCATGCATTGTATGTAAAGCATCAACAATTGGCATATCTATTGAAGCACATTCTGGATTGGGCGTCATTACCTGGATGTTAGATGCAAAATAAGATGAAAGCTATCAGAGATCAGATAACTTACCTACCACATCTCAAGAAAGGAAGGAAAAAGATAATGAAAGAAAATATAATTTCTAATTATTTAAAGAACTATTATTTAAACCTTTTACTTTGATAATGAACAGAGAGCTATTCAAACAAAGATATCCCCTCAGTTATCAAGAGGAGAGATTACCTTCTCTACGAGAGTGGACTCAGGGGAAAGATCTTGTGCCATGACTCGCATCAATAAGTCCTTTGAACTGCACAGTCCATGAGGCATATCTTGTCATGAGATGATTAATATGCTATTACACCATAGCACAGAATCTATGAATGTAAACAAGTGGATGCAATGGAAAACTGCTCACGTTAAAATCCCTCGTGGTTTGTTGTCAACTGTTACAATTGCAGAGCTTGTTCGACATTCGAGCATTTTTTTTGCTGTGGCTAACACAGTATCACTTGGTTCAACTGTAACAATCCTAGAAACACCACAGATCCACAACAAATAGTGACTAACCTGCAGACTACTTAGAAGATTAAATTATTCTAAAAAGTGAAGATATTACCTACTTTGAATTTTCAGAAATGATGGTAGACAGTGAAGGCCTGAACATTTGCTCCCGAAGTGTTTCTATAAATGTATTAGAACTTGCTATAAACAAGAAAATATGAAAAGGTCAATAAATATACTTGCAAGCCCAGTCAAATAGCATCATCCAATAACAGGAACTGGGCAAACAGTCAGTACATAGACAGTCCTACACTATACTAGTGAAGATTAGTAGCAACACAAAATTCTAAACCAACCAGAACCAGATGTCCCCCAGTGTTTTTCAACTCCCTCAACAGCAGCTGCAATGGCCTTTCCTTTCTCAGCTGCCCTTTCGAGGCGAGCAATTGCATCATAAAGGCATTTTGCTATATCAAGCAAAGCAACGACCTCTCCATTTTCTACAACTGGCAAATGTCTAAATTTTCCTGTCGTCAGGACAAAAATAAGATGTTGAATAGGCTTTCAAAAGTGAACAACTTGAGTTATTTCAGATAAACCAACCTAGCACCATTTTCTGCAAAGCCTCCACAGCAAGTGTGTCAGAAAGCACAAAAACAGGATTTTTCGTCATAATCTTTGAAACAGGTGTTTCCTGTATATTAACTTCTTGAGCAATAACCCTTGTTGCTATATCCTTCAATATGCCCAAAGGAAGTAAAAGAAAAGGATGCATGAAGAGTTAGTTAAAGCCATCACCCTTAGTAGGTATAGGAAAAGCATCGGTGAAATAGGCAGCTCTACAGACTTCTATTTACTAAATGTTTTTTACAGCATTTTTGCATAATTCAAGTCAAACCTTATCCGTCAGGATACCACATAGTAATGCATTTGAATCAGTCAACAATAAAGCATCAACTCGGCGAGCAGCCATCTTGCGGCAAGCTTCATAAATACTTGTAGTATCAGGTACTGTTAGGGCTTTTGATAGCCGCAGTCTCTTCACTGTGCGCTCTCCAGTCAGTCCCCTGTTCCAAATGTGTGAGAGAACAAACTATCAAAACTCAAAATAATCACACAAAATGATGATTTCAACTCAGAGTGACCATTAATGATCCCAACTATGATCTAAACAAGTTTTTAAAATATTACTTATCCTTACTAGCAAAGGAATCTCTTAGCTACAATTTGTTACTTAAATCAAATTTCACAGCATGTGCCAAGAATATAATAAAAAATCAAAGACTTTAAATTGCTAAGCAACCTCCAAAAGCTGCATCAGAAACCAAAAAAAAATTAAAAAAATCAACCAACCTAAAAGGGCAGAGCGAACTCAAACCAAAAATCTGAACAACAGAGCCTCAAGGAAGCCTGCACACTGCAGCCTACTGAACCACTCAAAAAGTATGATGGGAGCATTTGAGTATTGGACACTGGTGTATGGCCAACAACCATTACATGCTATTAAAAGAGCTGTACATAGGTGAATCAAGACAAATAACCAAGTAAAATGACCCCCGAAGTAGCATTTGTTAGTTGCAGATCATCTACAGACAACAGTGTTGTCAAAGGCGAAAAGCATTTAAAAGCTCCCCAGGTCTTTCGGGGGCTTTAAGCGCAAAGCGCAATTAAAGTGTGGGCTCTATTTTAAAAAGGCACAACGAAGAAAAAAATAAACATACATATGCACAACAACAACAACCCAGTAGAATCTTACTAGTGGGGTCTGGGAAGGGTAGAGTGTACGCAACATACCTTACCCTTACCCCTACCCCGGGGGTAGGGAGGCTGTTTCCGGGAGACCCACGGCTCAACATACGAGACAATAATATCAGAAAAGAATAAAAGAATAAATCTGTAACAACCAAAGAAACTAGATAAATAATAATTAGCATCGAACGAGACAGCAAATAAGTGGAAGGCTAATAACCCAATACTATGCAAAACGAGAAAAATAGTGTGCACACAATATAATCCACTAGCAATCCTAGACACAACTCTACCAGACTAACCGGTACAAAGAGAAAAAACGCTCGACTACCCCCTAACCTACAATCCTAATGCCCGACCTCCAAACCTTCCTATCAAGAGCCATGTCCTCGGAAATTTGAAGCCGCATCATGTCCTACCTAATCACCTCGCCCCAATACTTCTTAGGCCGCCCTCTACCTCTTCTCGTACTTGCCAAAGCCAACCACTCACACCTCCTAACAAGTAAAATATCTTTTTGCCAAGCATATTTATTCTTTAGTACCGCTCTATTCAAGATAGAAACTATGGGCAATTAGGAGTGCACACCTTACTGCCTTGCACACACTGAAGCACAGCGTAAGTGAGGCGAATCACCTACCCTGAGCTTGTATGAGCTTCAGGGCTTAAGCGTGCCTCAAATGAGCCTTTGACAACAATGACAAACACTTGCAGTACACGCGATTAAGCACTTCCATGATGCAGTTTTGTAACTTTAAATTAGACTTCGGCAGCACAGTGAGAATGACAATCATTAAGCTGAGATCCCAATTACAAAACCTCTTTTCCACATTGCCAATATTCTAACTATAAAGTATAAACTCTTTTCTTTTCCTTCATCTTGCTATAAATAAGCAGCAAATAAATATTCAATATCCCCCAACCCGAGCTCATATCCATCTCCCGTGTTCAAGTTGGGGAACAAATAAGCAGTGAAAGCATCAAATAAAGCTTAAATTTCACATTGTAATCATTTCGAGTCAGTGGCAAGACAAAATCAAACAGTACTGATGTCAATGGCGGAGCCACTCATTGGCAAGGGGAGTCAATTGACACCCTTTTGTCCGGAAATTACACCGCATAGATAGGTTAAATATTTTATTTTTATGTATATACACTATGTGTTGACTCCCCTTAATTTCTCCATATACTTACTTATTTATATTTTGACTCCCCCTCCGTCACTGACTGATGTTGATGGCCACAAAAATTTTACACATACAAATTAAGCATCAGTTCAAATAAAAGAATGAAGCGTACATGTTACGAGATGAAGAAATGGACTTCCGGTGAGCGGAATCAGGTTGCGCTCCTCCATTTTCGGTGGCTGCTTTCTTCTTAACGAGAGACGAAGAGCTCGTCAACGACATGCTTCTCCTCGACGATGATCCTCCTCCTTGACTCGTCGGCATCTGAACTCAACAGCAATCAAAATTATCCACAAATAACTTTGAATTTAAGATTTCAAAATTGAACAACCAAAAATCGTGTAATCACGTAATGGATAGTTTTCAACGGTCAAATAATGACAAAGAAGGCTTTGCTGTTAAAAATTGGAGCCAAAACAAAATGAAATTAAATAAAAAAGTGGAGTCAACGGCGGAGAATAGGGTTTCCGAGAAGAATATTCCGGCGAGGAAAAGGAAGAGATGGAGGGAAACCCTACGAAATGGGAGAGGGAAAGAGAGGATTAGCGTTTGAGCTCTGAATTGAATTGAATAATTTGTTGAGGACGCGTGTGCTGAGTGGGCCTTGGCCAATAAGATTGTACCACGTTAACCAATGACAAGGATTCCTATTTCACTGGAGGCCATGAGGTTGGAATTGAGACACTGAATTCAATTTTGGATTTTACTGCTACTCCTTGGAGTCCTCAACTTTCTTTTTCCACTCACAATTTATCTAACACTATTACAAATAAATTTTCATTTTTGTCAGATTTTTTAATTATAAAAATTCTAATTCATATATGACGGAGGGCGGATCAAAGAGTGCGGGTCAAGCAGGAATGGCATACTTCTAAGCTTGTAGCTTTTGAGAAAATGGTGTACATATCATCTTAGGCGAATACAACATAGGATGGAAGAAAAGTGAAGAGTTTTATAAGACATGATACAAGTTCACATGGTACGTGCGCTTTTGGAGCTCGATGTGACATAACCTAAAAGACAAATTCGTGCGGGCCTAGACCCAACGTGTATAATACGCATCATAGACTTGGGTCGTGACATCATAGGTTCAATGTAATTTCTAAGTAATATCAATATTTTATGTTAGTTGAAAAATATATATTTAATTGTTAAATTAAAAGGTCGAATTGGAAGAATTTGATCCTCGTACTCTAAACCTCTTTATTCTTTTCAAAATAGAGAAAATAGCAATTGTCGATAAAATTTTGATTATTTGACAGTGTTAATCATGTAAAGAAGGAACTTTAATTGTCGGTAGAAATGATTTAATGGAAAATAGATAACAGCTACTTTAGAATCAATTCTTTCTCCCCTCCCCTTGCCTCCTTTCAACGTAACCCATGTGGGATAATTTTGCGTTTTCTTTCTAGATAGATTCCTTTGATAGCTAGCTACTTCAAGGTCAAGTTGGAGGCTCTCTCTATGGATCCTAGCTTTGCCGTAGCAGGTCGTGTTAGTACTGATCCAACTATGGATCGTAGTTCAGTAGTAGATAATCATGTAACATCAGCCATTTTGGTGCCCAGTGCACCTTGCCCCTGTATCTTTTGCAAATCAATAATGAAGCTAAGTAATCTTTTATGACAAAAAAAAAACATATAAGCCACACTAAACTCCGAAGTCGGCTATCATTCACGTCGAAAAGCATATGCCACGACATCATTCTTATAACAAAATGATCAATTATGAGGTGGTAAATGTGATTTTTTAAATTAGAGATGATGGTCAGCATGTTGTATTGTTGTTTGTTTTATTTTTCTTTTTTTTTCTTAGATTAACATCCTTTCTAATTTCTAATAACTACAAACATTAGAGTAATTCGTAGTTATTAAAAATTAGAAAGGACGTTAATCTAAAAAAAAAGGAAAAGAAAAACAAAACAAACAACAATACAACATGCTGACCATCACAAAAGTTCTCTCTTTTCAGCTGCTCTCCATCCATGTCACTCTTTCCAACAGACAAATGGATTTCTCTTAAGCCAATGTCTCCCCTTTATGGGGAACTAAAAACTTATGATGTCCTCAAAAACAAATTATGAATCTAAATTTGTTTGGCAGTATTGGAAAGATGACTTTTAATACATATTACTATTAAATATGCATTAAATATATACTAAAATTAATATTCTAGTGGTAAAATTTCACTGGAGGTCATTCAACTATCTCTAAATTTCACAAAAGAAATTCAACTATTTTTTGTCACTTAAAAGTAACTAAAGTATACCATTGTCACTTAAAAGTCACTTTGACTCAAACCCTTACCATAAATCTTACATGACATTAAATTTAATGAGAAAAATCGAAAAATATATACCACATCACCTTAAATGGATCATACCCACTTTAAATCCGTTTGTCTTTAAATTTGATTTGACCCATAACCTAATGGGTTTCAATAAAAAAAATCATTGTTTCTCCTTTTCTTCTAACAAAATACATCCGACCAGATTAGTGAATTCGAAATAGTTTGTATGAAGTTACTCTAAACTTTGATAAGAGTCTTTAAACTGCAGTTGACTCACTGCAATTTACTCCATATAAGGATTGCATTTGCTTCGAGTAATGTGTCTCTAATCATAAAGTCTTGCATATTGAAGGTGGCACGTTCATCGCGTTGAGACTAGAATAGTTCTGATTGTGCCATATTTGCATCTTGTGTACGGATAAAATCGGGGGTAAAGGTTTTTCCCGATTCCCCGATAAGGGAACAAGAGGGAAGCACGGTTCGACACAACTACAAGCAAAGCCGAAGGACCCCTCGTATCGGAACCAAGAGGAGTGAACGATGTATCTGGGATCAGGCACGGCAAAATAACGGACCCAGACCAAGTAAAGTATCGGGACTATGGGGAAAAAGAGAAACAGTTAGGCATGACAAGTAAGGAGACGTAATGTTAGCTCTCAACTGGATATTATGGCGCGAATCCCGTCCGATATCAACTGCGGATCGGCATTTACCAGAAAAAGAAGATTATTACCTTATTTAAACTTGTACTAGGACTGAAATTCCCCTATTATATAGAGGGAGACCTTCTTTTATTTTGTCACATTATTGATAGGCAAATCAAAGTAATAAAAGTTCATTTTTGTCTTCTAGCTATTATTAAAAGTGTTCTTCAGTTATTCTTTTCTTTAATCGCAATTGAGCTTATATCGTGGGTCTGATCAAGGCCGAATTTCAGTGTTCAACTTAAGATCATGCTTGATCATCACATTACAATTGGTTTGATCGTTCATTTTTTTTTAACTTAATTATTTGTTGTTCTTAGTTCATTCGTATTAAATTAAATCACATATCCTTGAAACAGTGTATAAATTTTATTGTTCCTCATTTTTTAGGGTAAACACATCTATCTGTTGTACTAATTTTTGTAAATTGCTACTGGAAATTGTTGTTTCCTGATTGTTACTATTTGATGCTACTTTTTTCTCGTCTTTCACTAGAATTGCTGCTCTCTGATTGATACTATTTGATGCTCCTTCTCCACCTCC